GGCCAGATTCATCTTCTGTCCCTCTCAAAGTTCTGTGGCATGTGTGCTTTCATGAGTTGGCAAGTATTTATGGTGGCTGTGTTAAGAAAACCAGTGGGGTAGTAACCCTGAAGATGTGTTGGTTCACTTTTTGCATCCAGAATGTGTTAGAATTTTAGAGTGGAACTATTATGTGTATTTGTGTATGTATATGCAAGCATGTGTGTGTGTCCTTATTTGTAAAAGTAAACCTTTACATAAAGTTTAAACAAAAAATAAGCTATTTCAAAGGTAGTATAAAATATGAAAATATATGTACATCTGTGTGTGCATATGTACTAATCGTGAGCAAGGGAAATAAATTTGCATAAAATAACTTTCAAAGACAAATGAGACTAGTAAAACCTATAATGCTCATACTGGAGAGGATGGCTCAGCCGTTATGAGCACTTGCTGCGCTTCTAGGAGATCTGAATTCAGTACCAGCACTTACATCAGCTGCTTGCAGCTATCTGCCACTCCTACTCTGAGATCTGATGCCCTCTTGTGGCCTCCTCAGGCACCTCCACTCATATGCGCGTGCTGCACGCACACACACATACACACACAATTAAAACTAAAGCAAATCTTTAAAAATAAAACCTTTAACACTAATGAGAGTTCACCAAGGCCAGTTGGACTGGGACTGAACGAGCACGTGATCCAACCAGATTCTCTGAATGTGGCCGGATTCTCTGAATGTGGCTGGCATGGGGTCTTTCTGAGAAGCCATTGACAATGACACTGGGACTTGTTTCCTCTGCATGTACTGGATTTTTGGGATCCTCTGTTTGGATGCTCACCTTCCTGGACCTGGAGGGAGGGGGGAGGAACTTCCCACAGGGCAGGAAACCCTGACTGCTCTTAGGGATGGAGAGGGAGGAGGAGAGGGAGTGGGGGGAGTGGGAGGGTGTTGGGAGGAGGGGCGGAAATGGAAACTTTTATAAATTAATAAACTTTTATAAATTAAAAAAAAAACCTTTAACACTAGTAACAGTCAGTACTCGGTCTCTGAATGTATGTGTAGCCAAACAAATGAGTAACTTTTCCCTTTCCTGTAGAAAGACGTTTTATTTCATCCCATAGCCTGTCTCACTTTGTGCTTCGTTCTGTCACCTTCGAAATGAGGACAATGCTTCCGTGTGCCTTCCTACATTAAGGGTTGGATATTATCCATTAGCAGACATTTACACTGTGTCATACGGTGTTTAAGTGAATTGCCATCATAATCACATTTAAATGATGCAAGTGTTGTCATCCATGCTTTACAGATGATAAAAATAAGGTCCAGGAAAAAAATTAAAGCCACTTGTTTGGATTCAGTCAGCTCTTGTCAATTGCCCAGTTCTGATTTTGATCCAGATCTGCCTCATTTACAAAGCTGGATCGTGCTCACTGAATTCTGCTTTTCTGCAGAGAGTCATCATGTGTACTGTATTGAATCTTGGGATAATTGTTATCTATGGGCAATGCTTACTCAAGCAGTATCATGTGTATATACATATCCCTTAAATGGTACTTATTATTAATAGTCACTATACTTGAGATGGTCACAAGTATTGCTAAAAAGAAAAAAAAAGTAAACAGCATTCAGAGAGTTCCTGTACATCCTCTCTGGCCACTACATTCCCTGTTACATTCATCTGGCACATTAGCTATAAGGCTGAATCCAGTGACAATAGTTTATCAGAGTTCTATTGATACAGTAACTATGCATGTTGAGTAATACATACACAGATGTATGAAGAGGAGTATCCTCTCATCATTGCTAGTCTTGATGGTATGGTGCTTTTTAATTCAAATGAAATCTGCTCATTTCTAATATATGACAAAAGTACTGAATTTTTTAACATCTACCCTATAAACTGTAATTTTGCTCTCACTTATTAGGAAAATATGTTTTAACATTATAACACATCTTTTCTCATAGACCATCTGAGAGTTCCCAGAAAGTGGCAGCTTTCCTACAAAAGAATTTTCAGGTTTTAATTCTATATACTATATTTTAGAACTCATAGTAAAATTATTTTCCTTATTTATCTTTTTTTCCTTTTATTGATTTTATTGAGCTATACCATTTTCTCTGCTTTTCTCCCTTCCTCTCTCCTCCCCTTCAACCCTCTCCCATGGTCTTCATGCTCCCAATTTACACAGAAGATCTTTTTCTACTTTCTATGTAGATTAGATTTGTCTTTTTCTACTTTCTATGTAGATTAGATACATGTATGTCTTTCTTATGGTCCTCATTGTTCTCTAGGTTCTATGTGATTGTGAGTTGTAGTCTGGTTTTCTTTGCTTTAGGTCTAAAAGACACTTATTAGTGAGTATGTTATTTGTCTTTCTGGATCTGGGTTATCTCACTCAATATGATGTTTTCTAGATCCATCAATTTGCCCGCAAATTTCAAGATGTCACTATTTTTTTCTGCTGTGTAGTACTTCATCGTGTAAATGTATCACGTTTTCCTTATCCATTCTTTGGTTGAGGATCATTTAGGTTGTTTCCAGCTTCTGGCTATGACGAAAAATGCTGCTCTAAGCATAGCTGAACACAAATCATTGTGATATGATTGAACATCTTTAAGAGAAAGTAGGAAGTATACTTGAACGCATTGGCACAGGAGACCACTTCCTAAATATAACCTCAAAAACACAGATACTGAGAGAAACAATTAATAAATGGAACCTCCTGAAACTGAAAAGCTTCTGTAAAGCAAAGGACATGGTTCTTATTTATCTTTAAATAGACTATTTACTAGGTGACATATTTTTATACATGTATTTCATGAGTTATTCTTAATTAAAAATTGTCATGCTTTTCTAAACAACCCTACATAGTTGGAGACAAAGTAATTGTGCTTTATTATTACAGATGATGATTATCCCAAATATCCTTTGGGGAGATCTGCCAATAACACCTTTTATCATTACTTACACAATACAGTCCCCAGGGCACTCAGTATGTTTTGGTCACGGATATGTGATATAAGCTTCCTCTGGCAAAGATGCCCACTGTAGAAGTGCTGTTTGGATACCCACTGCAAAGAGAAGTGAGAACTGCAGGCCATGGAATGAAAATGGCCAAGTTGGAATGCCTCATGGGAAAGACTCTCACTACATTGACTGCTGTAGCTGATCATGTAAAATCCATGTATTTCAGAGGAGTAGTTTCCTCAAATTGCGAACCTCATATTTGTTTGTCCATTTGTCTTATTTAATTGGCTATCCTTGTTTATAGGCGTGGTTTACAGTGGTCCAGATAAGAACAATAGAATCAAAGTTTTCTCTTGCTCTGAGGAGGAGAGCCATTGGCATTTGCTGTAGGGAGACTACGTATTCTGTTACTGAAATCTCTTCTTGTAATGGAAAATGATCTTTTCTAATTATTGTCAACCTACATGGAATGGAAAAAATAAAATTTCAATGGCATACAAGGGATGTGTATAATTTTTTAAAGACTTTTCAAATACTATTAAAACTTATTTTTTGCTGCAGAATCTTTAGAGGCTAGAAATCTTCAAACCTAGACCACAACATTCTTTTTATATGTACAGTTAATCTCTCAAAATACATTTTTGCTAGTTTAGGCATTCATCTTGGTTTGTTGTTCATTTGTGTTACATACGCTGTCTCTACACAGCCCAAACTAACCTCCCACTTGTGTCTTCCTGCCTCAGTCTCCCTACACATCACCTTTTGTGGTTTCAAACTATCTAGGGGTCATCTTTAGGTTGGGCAGTTGCTTAAATGTATGGGATTTTGCAAACCGACATAGTAAGGGAAAAAGAAGTAGAGTAAATAAACAAATAGGAGAAAACTATAAACACCTTTATGTAGCAAAACCTGTTACTCACAAGAAGATGCGTAACAGTCAGTTACAAAGAAATTCATAAGTCTAGTTGATTTACATGGTCAGTTTGGGAATAAAAATAGTATCTGGAAATGTACTTCATCTGCGTGCGATCTTCTGCATGCATGCTCACTGCTATTGCAATGACTACTGCTTAACCCATTCTCGAGGAAGCAGAAAATTAACTGTGTGTCCCTTCTCCTTCCTACTTTTCTTACAAACTCTTCATTGGTTATCAAGAGTCTGAAAGATGATGACTATTTATAAGGGATGACAAATTTATATTTATGTGATTCCTAGATTTTTATTACACCATGAATTCATCTAACAGCTTCTAGACTTTTGACCTCAATGCATTGTATTATTAATAATTCAGATAAGCAATTAAATATCTTTAAGTATCTGACTTCAATAAGTTATATGCTTCTACCAATTTTTGTACAGACTACCAAACAGTGTAATAAGAAAAGCAATATCAAAAACAGATGCAAAACCGTAGGCTATTCACATTCCCAACTTTAAAACTTTATTTGAGCTGTTTGAAAGCAATGTGACCAGATTTCATTGTCTCTGGTTCTGTGATGAATGATGTGTCCTGAATGACGGAATAAAGGAAGCAGGCTCTTCACGTATTTAAGATGCCTGGCACATTCTCAAATCACCTATGTCTGGCTATGGTGTTCAAGATCGGCCTTCTGAGAAGACAGTCCCCAAAGCATCAAGCATCGTAACCTATATCTTGGGATGAGCAAGCAAGTTCAGAGACCCCTAAAAATACAAATAAAATACTGCATAACAACAAAAAGAAGCTATGGGGAGGAAGACTGAATTCAAGTCCAAGTCTTGGATCACATTAACATAGCAACTTTGGAAACATCCCTTTATTTCTGAGCCTTAGCTTAAACATCTGGCCTAAAATTCAATAGGGCGGTTTTACTAAATAAGATTATATGACATTAAGAACCACACAAAGCATTGTTAAGATAGTCAAAGGGTAAGAGAAGTTATGACAAATCTTCTTCTTCTTCTTCTTCTTCTTCTTCTTCTTCTTCTTCTTCTTC